CATACAGACAAACAGACATTCAGCTTTATATATAAAATTTCAAGAAAGGAGGGGGAGGGGGTAGTGATTTTTTACGCTTTGGGAGGAGACTACTCTTGGAAGAGGCTCTATTTTGAGATTTTGACTGAAAACCTCAAGTTTTTCTTTCTTCTTGTAGGAAACGAATCCCATCCAACAAAAGAAGCTACATAAGCGCTCATTTGGTCGACCAACCCATATTCACGGAATATGGGTAACGTTGCGAGTAGTCGAGGGAGCAGGCCAACACCATGAGGTAGGTTTCCAGATTTCGCTTATTTTCTTCGCAAATTTTCCTTGGTTAGGTCAGCTATCGAGAGCTTGAACCGTCGAGCTACTATGTGTTCCGTGTATTTGCCAGAAATGAAAAAGGAATTGGAAAACCAAGTGCTGAGACGGAGCAGCTGTTTGTACCTGGTAAGATTCTAAATTTTTTTTCAGTTTTTTTTTCAAACAAAAATGCTTTCTAAACTCCTTTTTTACAGCTTTCATACCGGAAGACCCATTCTATACCACGTGGTGGTTCATAGCCATGGTAGCAATGTCAACTTTTGTGGTGATAGTATTGGTTGTGGCATTCCTGTGCATAACCGGTAGGTTTAACCGTTGTACATCAGAATTTGTTTTTTATGCAATATTGTAGGCTCTGTCGCTAAATACAAGCGTGAGAAGCGTGACTCTGTTGACAGCATCCATCTTGCCAATGGAAATTTTGTAGCTTTCCAAATGGAAGCGAATCATCGCGACATGGGCAGGAGCAGGTGAGAGTTATCTACCTTTTTGCTGAATCTCTCGTACCCGTTTTTAGGAATGAGTTATCTACTAGACCGGGCACGAAGCAGTCATGGCTTTCGGATCGAGATCCACCCGCTTATGGCAGCATTTTGGGAGACCATGAGCGGTTGAGAGGCCGAGAAAGTATCGATGGTAGCGGAAGTGTAGTGAATATGTACGGGTTGGAAACTGATGTGATACCTCCTGCGCCAAACCAGGAAGCTATGCAGAGGTCAGGAACTGAGCAGTTAGTTCTAATTTGTTTGAATCTTTTGAAACTTGTCCTTTCAAATTCGTACTACCTTAATTCTGGAAGTTTTGAGGAAATAATTTTCAATTTCAGTAAAATCTTCCTATTTGGAAGTATAAAGCCCTTGAAATATTTTTAGTCTCAACAATTTTTTTTGAAAGTAGGGTGAAAGCGTACTTTCCAGGCTCACGGCTCTTGTTGGTCGAGACGTTCGTGGAAGTGCCTATATTTCTCAACGGGATTCCATAGACATATTGAATAGGTCCAAATACGGTAGTCGGTCGGATTACGGTAATCCGATAAGCAGGTTAGTAGCACTTTGTTGCAGCGACGGGTCCCATGATTTTCGATTGGGAAGGGGGAAAAATATTTTTTTAGTAGAGGTGCCTATTGGACGCGCACTCCATTATTTTTCAATGATGCTTCCCAAAATTTTCGCGGGCTCATAACCTTTCCAGAAAAAGTGGTCATGCCGGCAGTCAATACCCGAA